ATTACCAAGACTCTAATAAATGAATGGAAATGATTTGTTAATGCATTTAGGCTATGAGACATCAAGAAAAAGGAATGACAAAGGTTGAGCAAGCAACCTTAATGGTTAGAAGCAAAAAGGAGCAATAAGAAAGCTTAAGGATACAAGGTAGTGAACTTACCTTTCTTGTGTGCTTAATGTGTATGTTTGTGTGTTGATGTGCATTATGTGACTTGATGCTGTTATGAGATGTTAATGCTTGTATGATGCTCTATTTTATTGATGTTTTCCATGGTAATACATGTTAATATGAAACATTGAGTATGAGAATATATTATACGTACATAAGCATAAGTTAAATCAAGTAAGCATGTCATACACTTGTATCCATCTTACATGTATAAATGGTAATATTTGCTATTGAGATTCTCCCAAATCTCACTCTCCCTTAACCAACCATAATAGGTGATAGCGATCAAGAAAATGATGCATGAAGTGGAAGCGAGGAAAGAGGAAAACAATTAAAGAAAGTTATTGTATTACATTGTATTCTTTGCATACCAATGTATATTATGAACATGCCATTACTATTATGTGGTGTTAAATAATAATGATGGCATGTATAGCTAACTGATAATGTATGGGGAATAGTTTATGGATTGATGGAATAATATTATGCATGGAAGGAATTAATCATAAATTGTTAATACAAGTTAAAGGGATAAACTATCTCTAATTAAGCAACAAAACAATGACAGAAATGAAGTGTGGCAAATGATTGATTCTGCCCATGAAATTTGGCATGATTAAAGTACATATACTAAGCTTTAAAACAAGTGGTAGATCAACCAAAATGGATGTGTGTGTTAAGAGTTTTGCCCTTTCAAAGTTGGGTTAAAATACTAGAAAATTGAAAAATGACCATACAAATAGTGCACTTTGGCAAATTTTGTGGCTCCGTTTTGTGATGATTTGATGCCAATGAGTATTTTTTCCTTATAGTAAACATAACAAGCTTCTAATGGAAATTGCAATCACCTTGTTTTGATTTTGCTGCGTTTAGTTATGAATTTTTAAAGGAGGCAAAGATTTCAGTGAACAGTGACCAAAGGCTCTCTGTGACTCCAGGTTGCAACCTGGGAATTTGAGGTCACGACTTGGAAGCAAAAATGGCCTTTGTGACCTTAAGTCATGACTTGGAAGTACCAAGTCGTTACCTAGACTGAAATTATAAAAAGTTTCAAATTTTTGAGGATTTTCTCATAGCTAAGGCCTATATAATATCCTAAAAGGCTCCAACTATCATATAATAGGGTAATAAAGGAGGTATGACACTAAGTAGCACAGAATTGATAAATGAAGTACCATTACAAATTAGTGGCCATACTATATGTATGCCTTATTTTGTACTTCCAACAGCAGGAGTTGACATGGTCATTAGAGCTGCGTGGCTTGAGACAATTGGACCCCACATGGCTAATTACAGCACGTCCACAATGAAATTTTTGCAAGGCAAAGAGTTTATTACTCTTAAAGGGTACAGAGTGCTAAACAAGGCACAGGCCTAATGCCATCATTTAATCAGGATCCAAAATGTAGGCGCCTTTGAAGAACTATACATGCTCCAACCTATAAAACCAGAGAATTAGAAGACAGAGATGCCTGAAGATATGAGGGTCATTATCAACAAGCACGAAGTTGTCTTTGAACAACCCCATGGTCTTCCACCACTATTAGGACATAAGCACACCATAGAATTAATGCCTGGTTCAGGCCCGTGAAGGTACGGCAATATCGATACCTTGTGAGCCAAAAACATGAGATTGAGAAGATGGTAACTGAGCTTTTAGATGAGGGCTTGATTCAATCAAGTGCTAGCCTGTTTTCTAGCCCAATAATCTTAGTGAAGAAAAAGGATGGCACATGGCGATTCTGTGTTGATACCCAGCATGGAATACAGTTACAGTGAAAGATGCTTTTCTTATGCCAACTATTGATGAATTATTGGATGAGTTACAAGGTTCGGTATTTTACTCTAAGTCGGATTTGTGTTTAGGATACCACTAGATCTTAATGAAGACTTCTAAAAGGGAAAAAACTGCTTTTCGACCACACTAGGGCCTTTATGAATGGCTCGTCTTGCCATTTAGACTGATTAATGTGCCAGCTACTTTTCAGGCTCTGATGAACATAGTGTTTCAACCCTTTCATCATCGCTTTATCCTTATTTTCTTCAATGATATGCTTGTATACATTGCAACCTGGGAAGACCATTTGCAGCACGTTGCTTGGGTTCTGCAATATTTGGAACAACAGTGTTTGTTCGCTAAGATGAGTAAATGTTCATTTGGCTGCCACAGTATCGATTACCTCGAGCACGTCATCTTTGTTAATGGAGTAGAAATGGACGGGTCAAAAGTCCAAGCTATTAAAGCTTGGCCTAAACCACAAAACATTAAGCAATTAGAAGGGTTCCTTCGACTTAGTGGCTATCATAGGAGATTTGTCCAAAACTATGCCAGGATAGCAGGCCCACTAACGAATTTGTTGCGTAAGGACTCATTCTAGTGGACCTTAGAAGCCCAGACTGCTTTTGATGCTCTGAAACATGCTCTCATTTCAGTGCCAGTTTTGGCTTTATCAGACTTCACCAAAACTTCTATTTTGGAGACTGATGTGTCTAGGTTGGGAATCGGTGTAGTCTTGAGCTAGGACAGCTTTTTTCTCTAAGAAATTATCTAGTAGAAGGTAAGCTCAATCTACTCACATTCATGAGCTATATGCTATTACAGAGGCTATTGCTACGTTCTGACACTATCTCTTTGGCCAGTATTTTATTATTCGCATCGATCAAGCCAGTTTAAAGCACTTGACTGGGCAAACTATTCAAACCCCTAAACAAGAGGTGTGTGTATGAAAGTTACTGGGTTATCAGTTTAGCATTGAGTATAAGCCAAGGAAGACAAACTAGGCAATGGACGCTCTTTCACGAACTTGCTTAGCGCTAACTAATCTAGAACATTCTTTTATGGACTACATTTATGACCAAGTCCAGTTGTCCCCCGAGATTACTATAATGAAGGAAAAGTTGCACCAAGATCCTGAGGCTTTACCCCACTACAGACTTCTTCATCATGACCTCTATTGGAAAAATCATTTGATCCTCCCTTCAGATAATTCTGACTTGATCAAACGGGTATTGTATGAATTTCATGCATTGAAAATTGGTGGTCATGCTGGTTATATGCGCACATTCCATCGCATTGCTGCTTTATTTTCTTGGCCGAAGATGCGTAGCGATATTTGTATGTTTGTGTGTCACTGTTCCATATGTCAGCAAGCCAAGGTTTCTCAGCACTGCCCAGTTGGCTTGTTGCACCCATTACCGATACCCAATCATATATGGGAAGATATTGCTAGAGACTTTATCACCAGTCTTCCAGTCGTCTGTGGATATTCAGTTGTGATGGTCATGGTAGATCGCTTATCTAAATATGCCTACTTTATGCCATTGACTGCTAATTATAATAGACAACTGGTTGCAGAGAGTTTCTTGCAGCATGTGGTTAAACTTCATGAAATTTCGTGAACCATAGTATTGGATCATGATCGTACTTTCACTTCTGCATTTTGGCGGCACTTGATGAAACTTTAGGGTACTCAACTTTGTCTAAGCTCAGCCTATCACCCCCAATCAAATCGCCAATTTGAAGCTCTCAACAAATGTTTGGAGATGTACTATGATGCTTGGTGTTTGACTATCCTCGGCAATGGTTGGCTCATTTGCCTCAGGCAGAATTCTGGTACAATACCTCTTTCACTCTACTATCGGTATGGTTCCATTTAAGGTTGTGTATGGTTGTGACCCGCCACCGTTGCTTTGTCATTTCTCACTAGAATGTACATCCTTTGATGTTCATCAATAGTTGGTACAACTAGATGAGTTGTTATACTATTGAAGCGCAACTTGTTCAAGACCCAGGAATGGATGAAATGCTTTACTGATTGTCACCACACATAGCTTAGTTTTCAGGTTGGAGATTAGGTTCTTGTTAAGTTACAGCCCTGTCATCAGCATTCAGTGCAACTCCACAAGTACCAAAAGCTAGCTATGCATTATTTTGGTCCCTTCGATGTGATTGACCGTGTTAGACAAGTTGCTTGTCACCTGTGTCTACCGGATCAGGTTATATTTCTATGTTGAAGAAGTTTAAAGATCTGATTCTTAAGGTGCTTATTTTCCCCTGCCTTTACCTACTATTCCGAAGGGACCTATTGCACAACCCATTGTGATGCTCGAGTCTCTTCAAATTCAATGCCGTGGTCAATGGATCACCCAGTACCTAGTTCTTTGGGATGGTGGTGACACTCCTAATTAAGAATGGGCTGAGGATTTACAGGCCGTTTATCCTGGCTTGAACCTTCAAGACAAGGTTCCTTTCAATGGCGGGGGTAATGTGACAGGCTCAAGTAGAGAGGACCCAATCAGAGACTCAAATGGACTGACAAGCCAGGCCCAAGTGTGGAAAAGTTCTAGAATCAAGAAGCAAACATGGAAATTGCGTGAGCTGGAAGGGCACCCATTAGCATAAAAAAAGGAATAATGTTAGTTAGAGAGGCAGGATTGATTTTGGTGTAATCTGCTCTCTCTAGTCTCTCTCTTCTCTCTGGATGGATCTTTCGTATTTCTTTCTTATTTCTGCATTTGCATTGAGATTTCATTTCCTCTATGACTACTATGATATGATCATTATGACTGTACTCAGTTGATATATTGATATCCATATATAGATCGTTTGATCATTTTGCGTAAAAACTTGTTACAGAACGAGTACATAGCATTAATAATAATTATTATATAATTTGAAGAGTGAGCATATGCATAACTAAACGCAGAAAATAATTTTGCAAAACCTACCAAACAAAAAATTATCCAAGCTTCTGCTGGGCAAAAATTTTTACACGAGTATTTTTTCTTCTTCATCCAAACAAAATCCAAGTAACCTCACGAGATTTTTATGTTAAAGTTTTGCCATCGTAGCAACTTCATTCTTAAATTCTCCCACATCTTGTTTTGAACTGCTCGATAATCTTTTTACGGCTAACTCTTGTCCACCAAGTAGAACACCCTTCATAAGGAATAAGCAATCTATTAAAATCTATTTGCAAAAAAATAGTTATTTATGATTTTAAGAGTAGTGATCCCGATTTTCACGAGTGTAATAGATTTATATACCTTGTAAAACTCACCAAATCCTCCTTGACCAAGTTTATTGTCCGGAGAGATATCATTTGTGGCTGTTTTGATGGTATCCAAATCAAATTGCAGGGATTCTACGCTTGAAATATCAACTACATAACCAAAAACAAAAACAAAAAATAATGCAGGGATTATGATATTAATTACTCATCCAAGGAACTTCCATGTACTTGTAATAATTGAAGTGAAAATTGCATGGGTCTCAAATTAAACATGAGAGCTGATATTTATCATACCGCTTTGTTTAGGAACTGAAGCATCTTTCCTTGCCCTCCTTTTAAAGCACAAGAAGCAGAGCAATATAAATGTCACCGTTGGAACAGCTATGGCAATAATTATCCCAGCTGAAATCCTGCTTTTATCTGAATAAAACCAAAAAAAAAAACTAAATTACATATATATTCACTATTTTTATTAAAATTATACTTTTTTTTTTATCCTCAACATATATTCTCTAATTTCTTGTAAAACAATTCCTAAGTTTAAAATTGTTAATTAAACTCGATACCTGTGTTGCATAGTGGCACAAAGCTTGGATCCCATTCGCAAGCCTAAATTGTTAGCTCACCCTTTGTAATAAAAAGTTATTATTAATTAAAACATCATTTATTAATTAAATTACATATTCTTTACACTTAAACAGAAGGTCTTCTATTTAGAAGAGTTTTAGTTTTGAATGAAAACTTCTAGAGTAAATTTACATTCTTAACCCTCTAGATTTATCAGAAGAGTTCTAGCTTCGTTGTCAAAACAATCTTTCAAGCGTAACAAATTTGGGTGAAAAAATTCGCACAATGTTTATTCCTTGAAGCAGTAACAACTGACCTTTGGAAGTGGATGCCAGCGAAGGAGCTCGTGGCGGAAGCGCAGGTGGCGGGGCCGGTTCCTGGTAAAAGGGGTACATTTCATACCTTAAATAGCAACTGGGCGTGAGGGTTACTCCGCCCACTTTTCCATTACAGCAAATAGGCAAATTGCTAATACTGTTGCTGAGACACATGAGACAATCAATCTCAGATATATCCAGCGTGCACTGCGCCATAGTATACAGAGTTTGAAAAGCATCATATTCTACTGTTTTTGTCGCAAATTTCTTGCTTCCGCCTTCCGATGCCTCTTTCGCAATCCCCCTCAAGGTTTCGCCCACCAGCTTCATAAAGCTGGTCGTGTCTGTTGCATTGTTGACGTTATAATAAAATAACCTGGGGTATTCTTCCGTTTTGGAGAAGAAATACTGGTCGGAGTAACGTAACCAGCATTGATTGCCGTACCAACCGATGGCTCCAGTATTGTTGGGGCATCTGTGAAGGATATCTTTGATTCCGTCGGAAACACATTTTTGACAGGTCTGGACGGTGACATAGCCGAGGCACTGGAACATGCCGTAGACGGTGGCGTTGGGGTTGTTTTCTTGCCCGGCGACGGTGCTGTTGTAGAATCCATCACTTTGATTGGTGTTGGAGGAAAGGGAAGAAAGTAAGCGATTCACATTTGTCTGAAACGTGCTTTTCTGGGCATAAGTTGTAGGGGAACAAGTGTAGTGTCCTTTGATTCTGCCAATCGAAAGGATTACAAGGCAAAGAAGAAGAAAGAGTTGAGCAGAATTCGTGAAACGAATCATTTTGCGATGATCAATGCCGTTTCAATTCATACGCCGGCAGTGTAATGAGTCTGTTTTCTTTTTTTTTGGGCCTGAAAGTAATATGAGTCTGTTAAGTGTCAATTCCTTTTGCCATTCTCATTTATATTTATCATAGTTTTTATTATTTTGGAATTTTCAACGCGGCAGATTTAGAATTTGAGAACCAGTGATTTAGAAGAGAGATGTGGACCGGACTAGCTAGAACCTTAATACTCACTCCCCTCCGTTTCATATTTATTATATGACAAATTTTGGAGGATTAATTGTTCTAATTTTCTACATTTTCAACCAACATTGAAAAAATATTTTCGATAATTAAAATTTAAAATTTTTTCTAAACACACATGAATTATTTCTTGATTTCCTTGATTATTGTTTACCTTTTTATGTAATGAAAAAACGCTATACAGCACACACTCGATAAATATAAATGTATAATAATCAAAGTAATCAATAATTAGTTTATTCTTTTTCTCTTTTCCGTTACATCTGTAAGAGGTTCGTGACAAAATTTTATTTATTTAAATTTTAAGCCCCTTTCAAACACGACAATGAAGACCTGATCAACTGAAAGGTTTCGAGTCTTCATAGTCACTTCTCAGACTCTTCCCATTGCGTGTCCAATAATTCCTCCACCATCCAATTCAAACGACATACTGGCACCCCCGGTCAATGCTGAAATCAACTAATGTACTACTCCCAATCTTTAATATAAGAGCTAGTTAACTAATTTGAGTAAATTAAGAAAATTAGTTAAGTAAGTTATTTGTAATAAACAGGTATTATCTTTATTAAAATATCATTGTGAATCAAGTGTATTAATTAAAAATATTATTATTACAATGACTACCTTAAAAAAATAGATAAATATGAGAGACAAAGTGGATTGATGTATTATATTTTTTAAAAAAAGTTAAATGAATTCTTATATTAAGGATTATAGATAATATCGTTTAATTTGGTATAATGAAATTGGAGGCATAGAAATGAGATTGGAACAAGTCATTTCCATGCTTTAATGCCTCGTTTGATAACAAGAAATTGGAGGCTCAGAATTGGAATCGGAAGCGAAAGTGGAACCCATAAAGGAAACAAAAATTCACTGACCACGAATTTATGAGATTATAGGGTTTACGAAGAAGGAACCAGGTTGGGAATGGAAAAAGAAAATGAAACTAACAAAAAATGCAGTTATGTGATTAACAACACATCTCAATTGTAAATCCTGAAGGTTCAATTACAAATAGTTGAAGTTATAATCAGTTTAAAATTGTGCACGCTTTGTAAATCATAAAAATTTACTTGTAAAAATTAAGACTTGGTTTTAAGATTTACATAATCATTTACCTATCTTCCCCCAATATTGCATTGTCCGACTAATTCTATAAGTGGTAAAGAGATCCGATCCTTAATAAAAAAAGCTCACTAATTAATTTGAAAATATTAAAAAAAATTAGTTAAACTAGTTATTTATAACAAATGTGTTGACTTCCCTAAACTATATTCATTATTAATCTTGTGTATTGGAATTACTCTTTAATGAGAACCCCTTAATTAATATGTACGATTAATAGGTATATTTTTAGAGAAAAATTATAAATTTGGAAGACAAAGTAGATTGTGATTTTATATTTAGAACCAAATTCAATCCACAACTAATTTTTATATTAAAGATCAGATTTAGTACATTATGATACGTATTATCTTAACTACTTCTCAACACATGAATATGAAAAGTATAAATTTTTCATTGTGACCGAGAACTGATGGATGATCCTTTGGGTTCAAATAATCGGAGACGTATGAAACCGGTCAAGTCAATAATCAATAGTGATGGTATAAGTCAGGCCCGACCCACCTCACACGGCGAGGAAACGAAGAGTGATACCCCCGTTTCAAGTCTTCCTTTCTCCTTTTTCCCACGTTCCTAATTCCTTCATAGGCCGACGCAGCCAGCCTGTCAACGCCCAAAAAGCAATTTTTCCTACTAATTTCATTATTATTTATTTCATTTTATCTGTAATTTGTTGATTTTCAGTAACTTTTAAATTTGTCTCATACTCATTCAAAACATAAAACCTAATTAGGGTGTTAATATGTAAGACTTATTTTCCTGAATTCTATATTAAAATAGGAACTGTCATATGATTTGAATAGAATTAATAAAATTTTATGCGATTCCCTTCAAAATTCGTAAGAAGCAGTTGCCGACTTCGAAGAAATTAGCTAGTGCGAAACTTGTCTATAATTAATTTAAGGGAAAATGAATTTAGCAGTCCTTATGGTCTTACCAAATTTTGAATCAGGTTTTTGTAGTTTTTTTTTTTTTCCTTTTATTCCATTCTCATTGTTTGTTAGTTTTTTATTACAAATCTTCCGTTAATAATCCGTGAAGCTACCGTTACTTTAAGTTAAGAGAGCTAATGTGGCACTGATTAAATTTTGACGCAGCACTGAACACCTTCTTCAACTTCTCCCCCCTCCCTGATCCCTCTCTCGCCATACATGTCTTAGCTGCACTAATCCCACAAACTCTTAACAGCAGACGCAAGCAAATTCAATGTGACATTCGCACTACCAAAAAAAAAAAGACTTTAGATGACAACTTTCGACGATGACAAAAAAAGTCACCGCTGAAAGTGGACTTTCAGTGGTGACACTAAAAAGTTACCGCTGAAACTAAGACTTTCAACGGCGATAAAAATGTCACTGCTGAAAGTATACCTTTGAGCGGAAGGTGATGTAATCACTGGGCTCACTTTCAGTAGTGACATTCTATGGTCGCCGTTGAAAGTAAACCTTCAGCGGTGACATTCTATGGTTGCCACTGAAAGTAGACCTTCAGCGACGACTATTAGTGTTGCCGCTGAAAGTCTACCTTTGAGCGGAAGGTGATGTAATTATTGGGTTCACTTCTAGCAGTGACATTCTATGGTCGCCGCTGAAAGAACTTTTAGCGGCAACTATTAGTGTCATTGCTGAAGGTCTGACTTTCAGCGGCGACATTATAGTGTAATATAATAATATATATTTTATTTTATAATAGTAATAAACAAATTCAATCTAGCTTAGCAGCAAGAAGATTGGACACAAAAGGAGGTGGTCAAGAGTTCGAACTTTGAAGAAGACACATTTAAGGTAAAAATATTTGGATGATGACGTGACGGGGAGGAGTGATGTGGCAATGACGTGGAGGTGGCTAGTGATAACGTGGTATTCGGCAGTGATGACATGGCGTTGGTAAAGCCAATTCTTCTTAGGCATCACTTTCAGCGGCAACTTTTTTCCTTTTGGTGGCGATGTGCTGAAAGTTCTTTTAGCGGCGACAAGAATGCCGCCGCCAAAAGTCAATTTTTTTGTAGTGTCGGCAACGTTAGAAATCTAATCCCCACCCCGCCGTTGTCAACAAAAAACCAAAACTTTCAGGAAGATAAAATTTGAGTTATTAAGAAAATAAACATTTATAATAATATGATGATAAGTAAGAAGTTAGAGATGTGAAGGACGATGGAACAACCTTTTCAAGTCTATCTCTGAACTTTCGGAGCTGTTTCTAATTCTTGGTGACTTTGAAGATTTTGTTGATTGTTTATTGTTCATGTCAAGCTATCAAACATTGACTTCCTTGTGCGTGACCTGATTGATGGGGTTGGCTTGGAAGGAGACTAAATGGAGGAGGGGAGAGCGAAGCAGAGGGAAGAGGTGTTGCAGATGAGAAAGACGGTGCTTGGTCAAAATTTAATCAGTGCCACGTAAGCTCTCTTAACTTGAAGTAACGGCAGCTTCAAGGATTATTAATGGAAGGACTGTAATAAAAAACTAACAAACAATAAGGATTGAATAAAAGGGGGAAAAAAAACTATACGGATCTGATTCAAAACTTGGTAAAACTATAAGAATTGCCAAATTAATTTTTTTCTTAATTTAAACTAGTATATGACAAGAGAAATATCTCTCAAGTGCAAAGAGAAATATCAAATAACGAGCAAGAAAGTCACATATCTAATTTATCTCTCATATTTATACTTTTTTAAGATAATTCTTGTAATAATGGTAGTTTTAGCCAATACATTTAATTAGTAAAGATATTTTAAAAAAGACAACACATATTTATTGTAAATAACTATCATAACTAGTTTTTTTCAATCTATTCAAATTTGTCAACTAGCTCTTTTATTAAGAACTAGAGGTGGTAATTTAAAGAATTAAAATTTTCATAAAATTAAATTAATTTTTAATATTATTTTTATTAATCACACTCAACCCCATTATATATATATATATATATATTTCATTCCTTCCTACTTCTATATCATCACAATTTCTAATAATATATATATATATATTTATATATATCTAGGACATATATTGGAAAAAGTGTTTAATGTTCAAATTGACAAAATACTAACTCTCGAAGGTCCGAGTTATTTTAGCCTGCACCATCTTGAGCCCCCGTTATTGACTAACTAGAGGGTTGGCAGGCTAGCTTTTTTTTTTTGGTCATAAGTTAATTCTCACATCATATTATCTTATTCCAACTCACTAGTCAAGTACCCATATAATACAATAAGCAATTTATTAAAGTTAAAAAGTATTCTCAAAAGAGAACAGTACTGCGTAGAAGAATAGGATCTCGCCCCTGTAAAACACTATGGAACGGATAGGAAATGGTGATTGAAGAGCGAAAGAAAAAAGAGATTATTATGATGAATAATGCCACATAGTTGATCAGTGATCAATCTTGTCTTATTTTACAGAAAATTGCCAATAAGCTCGCACTAGTACATACAAATACAGTTTTTTTTTTTGGGTTACAAAATATAATTTTGTGTTATGCTATAATTTCCATCTTTTTGAATATGTTTTTTTTTTCAAAATTAGAAAAGAGAAAAAGAATAATACATTAAAAAGAAAAAGCGGATTGACAGGCAAGGGTGCCAAGGTCGGGGCTTCTTCAGCCCGCATCATTGCAGTGTGGC